CCCCAGCCACACCAGAACAAGGATGCATGTAAAATAAAAAACCTGTAGCCCCAGGCTTTCAGAGTCTCACTGTGGGGCTCCCACCAACACTGCACCCCCGTAGCAGCCCACAGCAACCTGTGGCCCTCAGGCCTCAACTCTAAGCCATCCCCATACGTGCACACACACATTCACATGGTACCAGTCTGGCTGAGAAGACACGTTAAACTGGTTTGAAAAACAGTCCCATTAAGTTTGGTGGAAAAGTCTCAAATTCTTTAAACTCAAGTTTCTGTCAAACTTGATTTAAAGGTTTAAATTTTAGTCATTTCAGTAAAAGTTATGACTCAGAGCAGACGTACCTATGTGCAGAGCGATGGACAGGCCGATGGCGGACCACAGGGAGTAACGCCCTCCAACCCACTGAAACATGACATCACACAGTCACCCCACCAATCAGAGCACAGGCAACAGAGATTCATCAAAAGAACCATCAGGACGGGAAACACACACACACACACACACACACACAGAGCTCCAGGAGTCAGGCCAGAAGTGTTTCCACCATCTGTGTCATAGTTTGTATTACTCTATGTTCCAGTGGCAGGTAGGGGGGGTTCAACACTGCTGGGAATATTAATACACCACCGCTCAGACGTTCCAGCCCCCACCCCCATGTTTCCAGCTGTTGTTGTGTGATCCACCAGGTGAACACACCTGTGTCGTCCCATCAAGCTGAAACCAAACAGCTGGAACAGACAGCCCTGCTGCAGATGTTCCACAGATATTTACACCTGTTGGCTGCTCTGCTTTCACTGTTCACCTGGAAAGTCTGGACCCTGTGCTGCCAGTCCATCACTGTTCTGTCCTTGTCCAACCACTTACACATCACAATAAAAACTGGAGGTGACCCCGGACTTTTGAATGGTAGTGGAGAAACGGTGTGAACCTCACCGACCTGCCACTCTGAGCAGGTTACAACCAACAGTAACAATCATCTGCTTCACACACACAGGTTTACATTAGTAGATTACACAGGCTATAGGAGAAGAGTGCAAGACAGACTTACATCCCAGAACTCGAACATGTTCGCTGTGTCGATGCCAAAGTCCTTCACTTTAGCCTGGAGAGAAGAGAAACTGTACTGATCAAAACAACATACAGACAGTGACAGAGGAGAGCGAGTGGAGACCCAACCAGCAGGGCCACTGATCAATCAGCTGATCATCGTCCTGATTAATCCGTTTACCCCCAGAATGTCAGACACTGGGAAAAAGTCTCACTGTGACTCTCCAGAGCCAAAGGTGGCGTCTCCACATGTCTTGTTGTGTCCAACCAGCAGATCCACAGAGACTCAGCTGATTCTCATGTCTGACAAAGAAAAGCATCAGCTCCTCACATTAAAGAAGGTGGAACCAGAACATGTCGGTGACTGTTGCTTCTAAATAGCTGAGGTTCATTTTCTACCAGTGAACTGACTCCTGGCTGCAGCTCTAGGTCACTGAATGACTTCATGAGGACGACACCGTGGGTCGAACACCGTGGGGGGATTTGGTTTGGAAGGAGGAGGTTTCCTCCTCTGACAGAGGAGACCTGACAAGGCTCTGGAGACTAGACCCTGCTCAGTGTCAGCTGTATCATACAAATCATATGATTAAAAATAGAGTATTGTGCAAAACAGCTGACCTGAGAGGCTCAGTGTTTCATATTAATAAAAACGTGTTGTGTCTCACTGGGTGTCTCTGTCCCAGGGACGGGGCCTGTTTGAACAGGAGGAACCAGGCCCCCAATTGTCATTCATTCATTAAATCCATGATTAGCTGAGCAACAGATTAATCAACTATTTTGATAATCGATTCTCTTATTTAGAAACCTCAGCAGCCAACGAGGGGATCTGCTGATTTTCTTTGTCTCATGCGCCAGAAAAGTCACCTTGTTGGGCTTTGGACAAAACCAGACTAAAGGCCGTCACCATGGGAAACTAACAGGCATTTTAGCTCATCTTCTGACATTTCACAGACAATGCTGTTAATCAAGGAAATATTTAGTAGATGAACATGTAATTAAAATGGTCATTTGCAGCCCAAATGAAACTCTGATCAGTGGAACCTACACGGCTCCTCAGAGCAGGTAGAAACTGAAAACCAGAATCCTCAAAGGGACTTCTGCTGTCTGAGGTTAGTTCCTCTTGCACTTCAGTTAAAAAAGGAAGATTTGATTTTGCACAAAGACCAGACTGTGATGAAGATCAGCTGCAGGGCCACAAGTGAAAGGAAGGACGGGAAAAGGCTTTCATGTTGCTAAATCAACACCATGTCTGTCTTCACATTAACAGGTTCCTGAAGGGTCCCACGGGACCTGGGCTAAATCGTGCTACTGAAGCAGTGAAATCTGTCCTCAGCCAGGTTTCATGTAAACAGTGAGAGGATTTAAATCACTTACCGCATTGGTGGACAGAGCTGCGAAGTGTTTGGCCACAGTAGATTTCTGTGGAGGACAGAAAGCATGAGGCTGATGGAAACGAGCTGAGACAGTGGTGCTCTGCCGTGCAGCGGGCACCTTACTGCACGTTTAAACGTGTACAAGGAGCAAAGCTACCCAACTAATATCTCAAAGTATCATCGTTCATCTCACTGAAGTTTGTTTAAGCTGTTGGGAAATAAAACTCTGCTACTGTCTTTACAGTCCTCGTCTGTCTCCGCCGCTGTCTGCAGGCAGCTCAGTGTCGGGAAATGCAAGCACTCACATCGTTAGCTGTCTGGAGGAACCAGTCTCTGGCAGACTCTGCGTTGGTGATCGTCTCCTGGGTGGTGAACGTCTTCAAAACACAGACAGGTCAGACAGAGTGAGTCCAGAGGACACTGACACAAACAGTTTTTATACAAGGTCACGTGTGCAGGAAGGTGGAGGGCTGGGCACTAGTGAGCACTGTCTGTGGTCTTGTGCAAGGTGCAACTAAAGGCGTTCCTGTGTCTTTAAGGTTGTATGGGTTTTTTTATGCCACTGTTGTGAAGACGGGTTGTCTGGTACCCCATCAAAGTTTGAGGCTTCATGTTGGACTCAGGTTAGGATCAGACGTAGCTGTGGCATAAAGGTTAGTGTGTCTCCTCACCTTGGAGGCGATGATGAAGAGCGTGGTCTCTGCGTTGAGCTGAGCGAGGGTCTTGGCCAGGTGAGTCCCGTCAATGTTGGAGACAAACCACACGTTTGGTCCACCAGCTGAGTATGGCTTCAGAGCCTCCGTCACCATCAGAGGGCCCTGAATGCAACACAGAGGTACAGTGGAAGTTAGGTCGTGTTTCGGAGGCAGCAGGCCGTTTTGCGAGCGCGATTCAGATCCCTGTGCGATCTCAGTCTCACATGACGAGTCTGCCATGTGGAGATATGTGTGCAACTGCCAGCCGTCCACTGCACAACACATTTCTGATGTAGCTGCAGTATTGATATGTTATGGGCTTCATCAGTTACAGAAAATGCTTTTCTAAATTAATGATCTGTTGGTAGATTAATTTGTTGTGAAAATTTAAATTTGACGAATCAAACTGTGAAACTCAGAAGACTGTAAAAAATATGCAACACAGCACCCGACTGACTTTTACGCCATAAAACCATGTCAACAATGTTGAAATAACTATTTTCATACAGATTAATATGTCCACATTTGTACCTTCATCAGTAGTGGTTTCAGTTTCAGCAGCAGGCGGTGGGACAGTGGGCTAAGCTCAGGACACTCATACAGCACATTTCATTCATGCAGCAGACGTTCAAGGACAGGAAAAAAACAAAAAACAAAATACAGGCGGGGGGCCGCCACCCCAGGACAGCTTTGTCTAGCAATGCCCCTGGTTTGAAAAATAGCTGCTAGAACATCTTTCACCATGTCAAGCATGCTGGCTTAGTTTTTGAATCAGTCTTCTCTTCCTGTCTACAGCTCATCCC